TCACTGCCACTTTGACGATGCCTTGTGGATAGGCCTTGAAGCCAAACGGTTTGGTTGAGGACCCTAATCGTCTTCCTGTCTAGGCGTCGGCTCATTGGCTCAGCACACGTACAACCGTGGCTATGACTACAAAATTCAATTATATATATGGATGGCGTCATCCGGTTTCGGATGTCTGTCACTGTGGCCAGCAACAGGACGCCTGCACTTATAGAGGGACCATGGATGGCTTGCGCTGCATCGCCCACAGCTCCAATCAAACACCCCATATCCAGTACAAATCCGAAGGAATAAGACCGGGAGGCATGTGGATGGGAGCCGCGTGTCATCAACGCAGCCGGCCCACACTCCTTCATGGGCAAACACAAGCATGCTGCAGTTGGGAATCAATCGCACGCAAGGCGGTGGCTGGACTGTAATCCGCTCCACACTGAGTGCATGGAACCATTCTTCGAGACTAGCACAACCACAAGGACCGTGCACTCCCTCCTCTCCAGCAACGACCAACTGTCTCCTGGAGCCAGTATGGGCGAGGTAGTGGGTAAGAGACAGGTAGGCAGCTTGTCAACATGCACATCAAGCGCAGCCACACCGGGGATGTCAAGCAACAGCCAATCACTTGAAACGACAAGATGAAGTAAAATAAATCCAATAATGCATAGAGATACTGTGATATAACTCTCCGCTAAATTAGCATATGAAGTTGGTTAGCAACGAATCCGCGATAAGTAGAAAATGTCCGCAAGTTACATAAAAATGCTACAAACGCAACATGTTATCGAAGATAAGCGCAATTAGGGCAAGCAACGTGGCCAGTTAATAAGAGATTATTCGGATAGGCAGAACAAACCAAATAAAGTGAAATGAAATGTATCTAGCTTAAAAAGACCTCGTTTAAGTGTAAGTTCGCTTAGCTCAACTGCGGTGAAAAGCACCAAGAATGCAACATCAGCCTCAGCATTGAGCACATATTAATATATATAATATATAAACATATTTATATATATTACAGAATCTGTAGTACAGATATTGTGCTATTGGAACCATGGCTGAATAGGAGAGCAGTATGAATAAGAAAATAGCAACTACAACAAAAGATTTTTTGCCCAGTTTACCACTTACAGCTTTTGAAACCTTTTCAGAAGGAGGGACACCGCAACACATGGACGCACACGTCCGCCACTGACATCGATCTTGAGCCATGGCTTCCAAGGTCTTCAATCAGCAAGTATCCGCATCTCTCGGACCACAACCAAGTAGTTGACAACAACCGGCCGAGGCCAAAGGTTTCGCCAGCTTTTTCATGCGGCTTCTCTAAGTTGCAGGCTGTCCACCAGACCTTCTCTTCCAGCCCTGTCCATCAACCGCAAACAACGCACGACGCAGGTAACTCTGGACAGGCATGCGCAATACGTGTCCAAATCACCGCAGTTGATGCAATGAGACGAGCTCCTCGAGCGAGTGGCTTACTCGTCCCAAAACACTCTAAGTTCCACATTGCTTACGCGGTGCCGCCACTACACACGGCCAATGGACCGCAGACAGCAGTGCTCGAAGACGGATAGCCTGCGCAAGTCATCTTTACGAATGGGCCAAATCTCGCATACGTACAACAGGACAGCACGAACAGTTGCACAGTAGACCCGCCCACTGATGGAGAGACGGATGTCGTGGCGACGCCACAAGTGTCTCAGCGTAGAAAAAACGGGGCGTGCTCTAGAGTTGCGCAACGAAATCTTGTCTCCAACAGCGTTGCCAGCAGTGATGCAACTTGCAAAGCACACAAAGCGCTCCAAAACCCCTAGTGTCTCAGTAGTAAGAGTGAGTGCAGGCAGTCAGCGGCCAGTCTTGAAAGAGAGTCATGCATTTGCATGGCGAAAAGTACATACCATACGTTGATGCGGTTTAGTGTAAGTTGGACGACGTGTGGATCGTCACCCCAGCAAGACGATATCATCAACACAATCCAAATCAACAACTCGACCACCTGGGAGAAGCTCAACGCCGGCGTTCAACGAATCACCCAGAGCGTTCTTTGGGACATCCTCAATGGCAAAGTCGGATAGGAACAGAAAGACAAGACATCCTTGTCTAACTCTACTGCAGACCACAAAGGTAGACGAAAGCTAGCCACAAGCCCTAACCCTGCTCGAGGTCAGACTATAGAGAATGCACAGTATGGAGACAAACTTCCCGGGGATGCCATTCTTCAGTAAGCAGTGTCACAGTATCGTCCGATCGACAGAATCGAACGCTGCACGGATATCCCATAGACAGCAATCATGGGTCTCTGATACATGACGGAGTTCAAGGATCTGGCGGAGTGTGAAGATTTGATAGATGCAGCTGCGACCAGGGCAAAACCCAGCTTATTCTTCTCGCTGCAACGATTCGCGCGTTGGGGATAGTCTACAAAGTATGATGGACACTATCAGCTTACAAATGACGAAGACTAAGCTTATGCCTCTGTAGTGCGCAGGCCCTTTCTGAAGATGAGGACAACTATCCATTCACCCCAAGATGATGGGACTTCCTCGTTCGAGCAAACTTTCGAGAACAAAGCGGTGAGTTCTCGAACCAGCGAAGCGCAACCATCTTTAAATAGGGCTGGGGAAAAACCATCAGGGCCGGGGGCTTTATAACACTTCATGTGGCGGAGATCCTGCTAGATCTGATGGTAAGAGAGAGGATCTGTGGGGGCAGACCACTCGGCCCCAGCGCGAGCGAAAGAGGTAGCAGATGGAGCTGGGAGCCAACAAAACTGCGAGCCAAAATGTTCGGCCCATCGCTCTAACCGTCGTCCAAGAATGGTGATTAAGGTACCATCCTCGTCGTATATTGTTGCACTTATGCCAGATCGAACACCTTCGGTGACTCGAATGAGATGGATAAATTATAGTATTACCAGAGAGACTAGCAAGCTCCATCTCCCTAGCACATTCACACCACCAAGCTTCGCGATGCATTTGCAGACTCATGCGCAACTCTCGAACAAGGGATTGGCGTTATTTACTGTGTCTGGAATCCGACGAAATCAAGCGGCGTTTGTCTATCAGCAACAAGGAGACAGCGGAAATCCAATGCTTCTGTGGGTGACGGAAAACGCCACAAGTGTCAATACTGGTGGAAACTAAGGCATCTTTGATCTACGCCCATTGCGAATCGTGGTCAGCGCCAATAGTTGAGTCAAGCAAGGGTGACAGTGAGGTTTGGTACCTGGTTAAAATCGCAGGGTTTTGTAGATTGGCGATGTCCGGTAGGTAGTGAACGCGCTTGGGTGATCCTCCGAAACGCATGCAAATGTTAGCATGAACCAATGCGTGATCGGAGTCCAAATAACTTGACCAGTACGATCGACAGTCCGTTACGCTTCCGTATCATCTGTAGCTGATTGCTATGTTGTCAAGCTAGGAGTACTTTTGTGTTTGTGAGAGTAGGTCTCCTCGGGTGCCGAAAACTAGTGTTTGAAAGATGCAAGCAATGATCAGAGCAGAGAGCAAACAGTCTGTCGCCATTGTCTGATCGACTGCTACTAATACCAAAACTACCCACAAAATGGTGCTCGCTTGGTGGAAGGCAGCCCACCCGTGCGTTAAAGTCCCCGGCAAGGATGACCACATCAGTCCTTTTGGAGGAACGCAGAAGTTTATGTAGCTGCTGGCAAAAGCTATTCTTGACTTCATCCGGGATGCAGTCTGTAGGGGTGTAGGCGGAGACAACAAACAAGGTACGCTTAAAGTCTCGACGCTTACTCAGATGACATGAACCTCAGGGTCTGATTGCATATAGCCGACTGTTGTCTGGGATCCAGTCAAGCAGAGCTGATTCAGCCCTGGCACTCAGTGCGAACCCAACACCAGCTTGGTCAGAGGCGGCAGCTTCTGGGTCTCCGGAAAGCCGCAAGTGATATTTGACGTCAGCGTTTGCAGGAGAGGCCATTCTGATGACGGCGTTAGAGTTTTGTAACCTAGTCTCTGAAAGGCAACAGATGTCTACCGAGAGCGTTTCAAGAGTACGGGCCTGTCGTTCGATCTGCATCAAAGTTGTAACATTAAACGCTGAGGACGAATAGAGAACCAGGTCGAAGAGCTGAGGCATCGGTGGAGTGCGAGGCGGTTTCGATCGCAGGACATTGAAAACCGGGAGTTTGATCGTTACTTTATCATATGCGGGACGTGGATCGCTTGTGACGGTGACCGAAGAAGACATAAAAGTACATATAGGTGAAGGACGGGAGGTGGGGTGATCTGTGAGTGGAGGTTGAGCAGTTGAGTTAGCATTGAAGATAGGCATAGTAGGAGCAGCAGTAAACACTGTGGTTTATGGCAGAATAAGAAAACAGAGTTAGAGCAAAAAAATAACAGAACGAATTTTTTGTCTATTTTTCTACTCACGTGTTTGAATTTTTGAGGGAAAGGGTATCACCGCAACAAGCAGAGATACACGCCCGCCACTGATTTCGGTTTCAAGCCATGACTTTTAAAGTTTCCAACCAACTGCACTTAGTATCCTTGGGACCCCATTAAGGAAGTCGAAAGGAACCAGCCGTGGCAAGCAGTTTTATCAGCTTTTCATCCTGCTTCTGCAAGTTGGAGGCTAGGACGAATTGCTGCCTGGTATGGTCGGGTAGGACGACTATTGTGTAACTACTGAAGCGCACGGCGACGTTGTCTTCGTGCTATATCCTCGCGTATGACATAGCATTTAGTGAGTCGTTATCCATTCACACAAAACCCGAGGCATGTGGTCAGACGTAGAGAAAATGTCGACACACCAATAGCCACGACGGAAATATTATACCGATGAGAGTGCAGGTGGATTATGAAACAGTAACTACAGACCCGGAACAAACAAGGGCGTTTAATTCCGCTAACGGCCTTTGGAAAGCAAGGAAAAGATGTAGAAGAATATCTATGCTACTCGCATGTCGACATGCGAGTAATCAGACCAAAAATTATCTGGCAGATAAATAGGGTGCTCTAGGAAAAACGTGCAGACGACTAACCGAGAAATTGTAGCTCCCATTCTAGTAACCTGTCCATTTCGGATTGGGATAAATCCGATAGATCGTCATAGCCGCAATCTTTCTCGGGTAGTTCAGCATCGAAACAGGCAAGCGCTCTAGAAATGTCTTTCCCTGCGAAAGAGCGATAAGGTGCATCTAGATACTGTTATATCTACAGAAGATGGGTGTACTTTTTCCATAAAATTGCTGTCCGTTGTTAGTAACATCGAAGACTTTCCCATTCACAGCAACCAATATCCGACCTTCGGGCCCATTCCCATCGTACAACCGTAATTCATCCAATGTAAAATCTTGCAACTGTAAAGATGTTAGATTTGGCTTCCGAGTTTGATTGCGACGAAATAAAAGCAAATAGGCTACCAAAGGACACAGTAGTAGTAGGAATATGCCGAGGGGACACGATAATTCGAATAGCTGAAATAACGGCTCACTGAAAAGCATTTGGAGCCCCTGGTCAGAGTTTACTTTATCAAAGCTAAATTATTCAAGCTATGCAGAAGTGCATCACACGCTCACATAGGTCCCAAGACGAAAACTGGGAGGACGATGAACGACCGTACAGCTATATATGTTGTTAATGAGTGCGAACAGCCGCTTTCGTCTCCAAATCAAGAACCCAAACAGCCTTTGCCAGATACTCGTAGTGTGTTTTTGGAAGTTAGAAACAAAACCATTTGTCTAGACATGGGAGTAGATTCCTCGTCACCAATCACAGTTGTGCCATATTGTTTTTACAAACAGTATTTCGGTCAGCTAACTGTACATCCTTCCGCTTACACTTTCAGCAGCTACTCCAATGGTGATGTCCACATACTCGGTTTTATTATGGTTTCAATATATCTTATAAAGAGCAGAAAGCGTATAATTGAAGTTTATGTATTTAAACTGATAGTAAGCCTCTATTGGGACGTAATGCCATGGCCTTATTGAACGTATCACCATGCGTCATCCGGATGACCATTGCTAGTGTCAACCTTCATTTGTTACGTTCCAGTTACCCAAATCTCATTCTTCCGGATATTGGTAAAGTCCCAGAAGCAATGTACCGCAATCAGTTGAGCGCGCATTACAAACCGTTTAGCATTTCTCAACCTAGAACTGTATCTCTGACCAAGCGAGAAGCGTTGTCGCAAGCTTTGCAAAATATGGCCACGGAAGACTTGCTAGAACCCATCATCATCAGCAGCAGCAATACATCAGCCATTTGAACTGATACTTCGCCACCATACAACCACGAGGACCTATGAAATAAAGAATAAGAAGAGGGAGAGAATAGGGACTTATCTGAAAACCTTAATGCCCTAAGCAAACATTCAGGATCAAGGCGTCTGCACCTTGTGTAGACAACATACCGTCACAAACAGCTATCGTACTAGAACCCATACAGTGTTCTGAATGGGTTCATCTACTAGTTACCGTTCAAAAGAAAGATGTCTCTATTTGTGTATCCACCGACCTTCGAGCGCTTAATCGACATGTACTTGTGAACAAGTTCCCTTTGCTTTCAATCGAGGAGTTGATGGTTAAGCTATAAAACGCCCAACTTTTCTCAAAGCTGGATATTCGCAGTACATACTACCACATGTCACTGACACCAGACTGTCGACATTTGACGGCTTTCCTCAAGCAACACGGTTTGCATCAATACGAAGTGGTACAAATGAGCCTTAGTAGTGCCCCAACAGCTTGGCAGAAATTTATTACTCTATCAATATCAGATCTTAAAGGATGTGTTGTGTATATGATATTTGTGTCTTTGGTACTTACCCTACCGATCATCAGGAAAACCTTCATAATGTGCTGCATAGACTGCATGAACTAAATTTCTGCCTGAATACCAACAAATGCAATTCGCTGTAACGGAGGTCGAGTTTATTGCACACGTTACTTATACCTCCGGTATAAAGCTTAATGTGCGGAACACTAGAGCCATTCTCCACTGTCCAAAACCATGTAATGTTACAGCTGAAACATTTCTTAGACTGGTGTTGTTATTGTCTTCGACATTTACCAGATTTTGCGACTATTACCGAGCAGTTACGGAGGTTGACGCGCCAAAACCAGGAGTTACGTTGGGCCACTGAACAAGACAATACTTATCTGACTATACGAGCGACGATAGCATCCACTCTCACTATAGCGATCTTCAATGAGCACTGTCCAATGTTTGTTTCCACGGATGCTTCAGAAGTTGGCTTGGGTGCAGTTCTGTCCTAGCTGCATGATGTCGAGAAGAAAGTGGTTGCTTACACATCCTGTACCTAGTGTGATACTGAAAGAAACTAATCCACCGGCGAGAAGGAGGCCTTCGCATGGGTCTGCGTATGTGAGAAATGGCACTTTTACTTATTCGGTCGTCGATTCACTTTGCGCACCGATCATTCTGCCACTGCAACGTTACTAAGTCGTCTTAACAAAGGACATGTGCCAGTACGCTTGAGTCTCTGGTACTTACGTTTATTGAACTATGATCAGGAAATAAATTACGTGCCAGGGTGCTTTAACCAACCTGCAGATGCCTTGTCGAGACTTCCGCGGTCCAAGGAAGCGGAAAACGATTATCTAGAGGAAGAAGAATTGATATCGCAGCTCTCATATGGAGTACCTTTTTTGATATCATTTGACCTAATACGAGAGCACACTGACGAAGACCCTGTCCTAACGAAGCTTCGAACACGTCATACCAAGGTTCAACCTGAGTTACTTCCATACTATATCCTACGGAACAAGATTTCCACTGTGATGAACTGCTTTGTTAGAGGCCAGCAGTTTGTGGTCCCTGCAACCGTTATTTATATGGTGGTTGCATGTGCGCATGAATGTCATCCAGAGATTGTGCAAAGACTATTGGTGGCCAAAGTTGAATTTCAGCGTCGAAGCGGTTATTCGGAGATGTTACGCCTGCCAACAATCCGGTAAGAGTGCGAGTCCCCTGAATGCTCCAGTCCAACCTATCGTGTACCAAATGAAGCCAGGGGCAAAAATGCCATCGATATTATGGGCTCGTTTACCAATTCACCCCCGCAGAAACGAAGTGTGCTAGTGGCTACATGTTTCTATAGCAAATGACCAGAGGCTATTCTATGCGGGGAGATAACTACAGTCATCATCATAAAGTGGCTCCGTTGTTTGTTTGCAGGGTACGGCTTTCCAGAAGAAATAGTCACTGATAACAGCCCATAGTTTCGAAGTAACGAGTATGCTGAATTCCTAAGGCGCAATGGTATCAGACACACGAGGACTGTACCTTATAATCCTGCAGCGAATGGACTCGTCAAACGACCTAATCGTACTTATAAAGCATCTCTACAAGTCCTTCGGCTTTCGGGAGAATCCTGGGATGATGCGTTGGTATCTGCATTGGAGGTATACAGAACCACTCCACATACTGCAACGGCAAGGAACCCCTCGGAGCTAAAGCTAGGGAGAACAATTCGAACTCGATTAAATGCAGCCTTTACATCCGAAGAAAGCGCCGATCACAGAGAATACGAAAGACGGGCTGTTTATCAGGCTAAATATAGACGCGTTGGGAAAATGTATTATCCAGGAACATTTGTTCGTGTGAGACCACCCAATTTCCGGAAATGAGATAATGTATTCGGACCTCCGACCCGTGTGAAATCTATGTGTACACCAGGAATTTAAATTTGTCTGATGGGACAAAGGTGCATGCAAGACGGCTGCATACAGAGCTTTCCCAACGTGTTCTCGAACGGACGAACACACCTACAACACCGCGCTCAGTACAAAGTAATACTAACTTACAACGTTCCGGTAGGTTAAGCAGCCCTGTCTACAGATACCTTTTAACGGATAACACCAAATGACAATTCTTCGTTCATGGATATGTAGTGCCTATATTTTAAGAACCGAAGATTGGACAAAGTAGTGTTCAAATACTTTGCTTTGTTTTTACCCTCGATTCTCTTATCCTCTCCACACCTCTGTTTAGCACTCGTTGGCCTATCATGTTATCTTGCATTCGATTGATTGCAATGCGAACCTCTATCGATTTAAT